TTAGCAGTGCACATCTCGGTTTGTTCTCAAAGAGGAAGAGGAAGTTGGTAAGTGATGACTAAAAAAATGAATAAAAATTGTTTGGATTAGATAATTATTTACAGGTTAAAATATTTACCTGAAGCTTGAAATGTAACTTCATCAATGAAAAGAAAAGGTTGGGCAATTATCCAGTAAGTCAAAAACTTTTTGAGAACCTCAACTTTTCATTGTTTTTTCATAATATCTGAATAATTATAATCAGCAAGATAAAATTGCCAGAGAACTTGCTGGTGACAACTGTTATAAGTCTCTTGAAAATATGAATTCTAGAATGATTCCATCTACTTTTAGGTACAGACCGTTAAAAAAATAAGTAGTGAAGAAAGAATGCTAAACAAATAGATTGGGAACTGAACTTTCTCCACAGATTTGTGTCCATGTTTTTTCATGCTTCCTATGACAAATCCCCCATTTTATGTAAGATCTATTTATAGTAATTAAGCTAAAAAGAAGTCATTAGTAAAATGATCTCTAAACCAATTTGTTTCCTAAAATAACACATGAATTAACAATGTGTAGTAGTTAACTGTCTTTCAACTTCTCCTTTTGTGAACTTTGCTTTTTTAGAAAGCCACTTTGTGTTTTTGGTAAGTTGGTTTAGAATAAAATTTCTCCTTGAATATTTCTAACTACAAGAAAATGTTTAAAGTATTTGATGCCTCAAAATGTGAGGGGTAGGGGGATCAATCTATTTAGATATTCTTCCTCCCAGTGATTAAAGACATAGCAGCTTCTTCTTTCAGATTTTTTATAAATTACTATCACCTGAAACTAGGTCATCCATCTTCCTCTATCATCTCCTTTCCTGCTGAAGTTTGGGAATTGGCTTAACTTTCATAAGAAGCTCCTTTCCTCATATTTGGTGCCTACTTTTACACCCAAGAATCAAAATAATCCACTTGTATCCATGTTATGTTCTGTGATTCTTACCTGTCCATAACCTTTACACAAAGGCAAGGTAGTAATCTGAAAAGTGATTGTGATAAGAGAAAAATAAAAATAAAAAAGTAAGGTGGCAACTGTATCATTCATTTATGCATTTATTTAGCAAATTATGCCCTTGTGTGTTTAGGACTGTTACTAGACAAACAAACAGTAAGTATGGGCTTTACCTTCAAAGCACTTATAGTCTGGTAAGGGAGGTAAGATATAGACACAAATAAGTATGACAGAATTAGAAAAAAAATGCCACAAGACAGTGAGAAATATGAGCATCCAAAAGAGAAAGAAATTGCTTTCTATGTTATTACTTTTACAATGAGCATGATTAAACTTTCTTGGGATACAAGAGTAAAGAAAATTCATTTCCTCACCATCACCTCCAGCTCCAGAGGAATTCCAACTACCTACCAGATAATTCCAATTTACCACTGGATATATCTATTCAAATATCTTAATAGGATTTCAAACTTACCACGTCCCAAATCAAATACATCATTTCTCTCCCTACACCACCTCCTCTTTCCCTATCTCTGCTCTCAAGCCATTTCTCTACTTCTAGTATTAAAATGACTCTCTGTACATCTCAGTCACTTTCTCCTTCACTGCCAGTCAATAACATGTCAAATCATAGACTTTCTACATCCTTAAAACTTTTCCTCAGACCCTTCTTTTCATTTTATTGACAGGCCCTTATACTTGCAATAACATTTAACTATTTTCTTTAACTTTTACCTTTCCTGACTGCAATTATCAGTCTATCTCCTGCTCACAGATTAATCTTCCCAATTTATAGCTCAATCATGTAATTTCCCTGTTCAAATAAATTCAGAGTGTCTAAACTAATTAATTATATGAGTCAATATTTTTCATCCTGGTATTCAGTATATCCTGAGGCTGTATATCCATCCTTATTTCTCAACATTCATCTATGTTCAACTTGTGATTGTCTTTCATTTCTAGACTAGATTATACTCATGTTTAATGTTTCTACTTAGGAATTTACATTCATCTGGAAACTTCTCATTTTCAATCTTCATAGTTTATCATAATTTCCACTTTTAGATGAAGATATTTCTGATGTCCGTACACCCAAAACTAAGCTCAATGTAATCAAAGTTATATTACTTGCCGCCTCCTCCTTTTTTCCCCCACTTCTAAGGGAAAGGCTGAGTCTCATTGATCCCTATAAACCTACAGTATTTAGCATAGTGTGTGTTTCAGTGTGTACAATCCATTTTTCCCCCATGAAACTGAATGTTCAATCACCAACAAATGAATTTCTCCAAGCAATTAAATTCTTCAGATACCAATAAAGTGATGTTTGTTCCTACTTGCCTAAAACATTTTAATATTTCCTAGATTAACTTAATAAAGGTGAAAAAGCAAATGACACTTGAAGATTAAATTGCTTCCAGGGCCTTCTTTTTCTTGGAATCCCTTTTTATTTAACTTCTCTCAGTGACAACAGTCAAAAGCTCATGGATCTACACTTAAAAGCCAAAGGGGTCATTATAGATGTCTGTTCACTTTGGAATATAATTTAGAAAACCTGGGAAAAGAATGACAGTTCCTTTTCAGGAAGCTTCCATATACATCTCAATAGAATAGCTTTCCAAATTAGAATTTGTAAAATATTATACCACCAACCAAGTAATAGAAAATCACTCACTTCCATGTAGAAAGATTCCCTTGATTTTCTCAAAGAGCACAAAAGGCTATATCGTATTTATTTAAATCTCAGACTGACTTGACAAAATCATCAGAAAAGAAAAGGAAGTAGTCAATTTCTTCAAAAGATCATTATTTAGGAATAAATTACTACACAAAAAGAAAAAAAAAGGGATCTTTTTGACAACTTGTGAATTTAATGCAGATGAAACGCCTCCTGCCCCACCTCCAATAATCAACTATGACAATGAAATACATTAAGTATTCTAAGTTTTGAGAACACGTAAAGCTTTGAAATCAATGTGTTTCCGGGGTTAGGGAAAAAAAAAACAACAACTTAATAAATCAGCTTGGGAAATGCTTCATTTCCTGCACCGTATCTGCAAAGGAAAACATAATACAGGCAGAGCCAGGTGCAGCAAAATCATACACGTGGATGGGAAAATCTCTTCCAACTCACAGCACCACTTAGATAGTCAAATTACACTCCCAAACTAGAGCTTTCTCTTCTAAGATAAATAGAGTGGTTTTTACAAACACTTGCCTACAGTGAGCAGATAGGCTTGTTGGCAGAGGTTGAAGAAAGTCATTATGTAACTGTTGTCTCTGCTCTAGTGAGAAATTACCTTAGTTGGGTTAACAGTTCATTAGAAAGAGGACACTGTTAACAGAGAGGTTAGGCTTATTACCAGTGAGCTAAAGCAGGTTAGTATTTTCCCAAAAACGTCCATGTAGAAAAATCTGCTAAGTCATTTCTGGCTTGTCTTTCACCTTTCCATCTTTTTAATGGCTGCATTTTGCAGGCTGTTTCTATTGATCTTATTTCACTTTACTTTCAGAAAGACATGTGCTCATTCAGAGTTTAACGATGCCAGAAAAGTAGTGTCCTCATGATTCTCACAGACCTGAAATGGAGAGCAGCTTCACCAGACCTTTTCAATTTATATTGACCTGCTTGCAAGCAGTGTTTTCATGGCATCAGGATTCCTATCAAGCTTTCCCATGCATACTGAAGAGTTCTTCTAAACTAGTGCATTGATTTCTGTGACACCTCATAAATATTCTTAGTTTAAGAAATCAGATTCTTAGTAACTCTTCCAAGTAAATTTTACGGCCTTGATAGCCATGGCAACACAACCCTGAAAACTTCAAGATGCATGGTGAGCAATCACATGTGATGTTGAAGTGTTCAGAACTTTGTGCTAAATTTACAAATATATTTGAAAAATTAATGATAAATGTATTTCATGAAGGAGTGTGCTCATTTTTTCCTACATTATCACTGCAAATTAGAATTTTATAGGAAACAAACTTTTGAAAAGAGCACAAGCAAAATGAAATTAGACAGAACTTTTTTGTTTTTCCCCCCAAGGCTCTTCAGAGTCAAAATCAATCTTTCCCAACTGAGTTCTTTTATGACAGTTTGTACTTGGGTTTTTGCATTTATTAAGTTTGTCTTGTATTAGAATTACATGCTTATTTCTCTCAATAGTACATTTACCACTGTGGGCAAGAACAATGTCTTACTCATTTTTTATTCCTTGCACTGCTGAGAACATGGCAGGAGACTAATAAATATTGATTAAATTTAATTGCTTACTGTGAATTCTCCTAAAAGGGTTAAAAGACAAATGTAATCATTTCTTGCAACTGGTCACGAATAGAGTCAGGGCTTAGGCAGGTACATATATAGGCTTTAACATATAGCCTTTATCTGAGTTTCAGAACCTGCAATCAACATGTAGGGTTTTTTTGTGTGTAGAATTCCCTGAAATGTTATGCAAAATGTTGTGTGTGTGGATATGTGCATATTTCTGGAGCAAACAACTATAAACTTTAATGAATCTCCTCTTTACCCACCCCACTCCTCAAAATGCTACGATTTACTCCTCTAGGCAACTTAACCTCTCAATTTATCAAAGCCAAAATATAGTTGGGAAAAATAATAGGCCAGCATCTGCAAAGAGATTTTTCCAATTACAGCCTTTCACCCATACTGACAACCTTGTTATTTCTAGAATTATGTCTGAAAAGAGAACACTTTAAACCAGCATTTAATCCCCAGATTTTTATTCTCTAAAAAGGTCTTTGTGTATTTCCAGTACCTCTGTGATGTCTCACCTACACTTCGAGGCCACTGCACCGGCAAACATTTCCCTTCAGGGAAAACAAACATCCTTTCTGTGGAGCCTTCTCTATGCACTCACATTCAGCACCCACACACTCCACTCAGCAAATGAACTGCTGCATCTAAGTTTCAGGGGAAGCTCCCTGATGGTAAACTGAGGCTACCAGCCCCTGCTAGTGATATCTAATCCACACCGTCAAAGGATAAGAGAAAATAGTACCGTCGCCTTCACTGGTATGAAGAATACTGGAAACAAGAAGACAAAGGATGGTCACTTGAAGCAGTTTCATGGTGCCGGTGGATTATTGCAGTGGCTCCTCACTCCAGAGTCAGACAGGGACAACTCCTTTCCAGTCTGGCAGGACCTTATTAGCAAATGGAAAAGGTGTGCTGAATGTGAACAACCACTGCCCATTCCTACTTATTTCGGGGGTTCTGATAAAGAACGGGAGGAAATACACACACTCCCTTTGGGAGTTCAGCAGAGAGGAGATTTATTGTTTCAGTCCCTTACAGGAACTTTTTTTTTTTCTCTCTTCCTTTGGCAGCCACTTGTGTTTTTGTTACTACATTATTTTGTTCTTCTTCAACAAAAAGGTCAAGGAGGGTTTTGAACAGAAACAGATCTTTCTTGAGAATGGGTCATACAGCTTTCTAACTTTTGTTTTGAAATTGCGTTTTGGAGTAGTTATAAAGGGCCTCCTTAAAGAGTGACTCAGTTTGGATAAAGAAGCTTTAAGTGCCTGAGGGTTAAATTTTAGAGCGAAATCAACGAGGAATCAATTTTTCTTCCCCTTTTCCAAACTGAAGGCCAGTTTAGCAAAGACCATCTTCTGAAGATAACTGCAAAACCTTATTAAATATAACATGCTCTGCTCTTAAGGAAGCAAAGAGATTTCTTAGGGATGTCCAGGGAAGTTTCTCAGGATATTTCTAATAGAACTAAGCAAAGCCATGTAAATGTTCACTGATTATTACTGGTTTTTATTGTTGGAATTTCACGAACAGGAAAAAAATTACTTATAATACTCCAAAGATGCCCTTCTCTAGAAACTGCAATTGGAATGGCACTGGCATGGGATGCTCTTGCAACAAATCAGTAAAGTTGGAAGGGATGAATTCTTCAAATCAGAATGCCACAGGCTAGAGACTCTGTGTATCAAGGGTCTCTTTGATATTAGTAGCAATTGATTAAAACATGTTTACTACACAGCCACAACCCTGGCGGCAATCCCATTGTGTGCCTTGTAACTCTACACTTTTCCTCAGTCTCATCTTAGCTAATTGCCCTTCTATATCTTTAGGCGTAAGCCTCCTGGACAAAAGAGTGTTGATGGATCAGTGTAGATTCATCTGTTCCACACACACACACAAAAGCAAAGACCTGTTTACCTGTTTATAATGAGGATATACATTGATTTCACTGCTGCCTAGGGCCAGGAAGGATTCATTGTAAGAGGGGTTAGAGCAAGTCAACTAATCAAAACACCCCAGAACACTAGCTTGTTTCATCTGAAGTTAGGCCAAATCTCAGAAGAGCCTCCAAGTTTCTATTTTGTGTATAGATGAGACTTAATTATACCATCTTTCCTAATTAATTTTCTAAGACAGACCACCTTTGGAGTTGTTCCTTTATTTGGCATATCTTGGAGAGCATAAAGATAGCAAAGTATGTGAATAGATGTCACATGCACATTCCAGAAATAAGCTGGGGTGTGGCCATGTACTCACAGTCCAGCACTCACATTATCTCACTTCCTGCTCCTTGCTGTGCTTTATCTCTGGAGTTTTCAGCACACGGGGTCACTGCTGATGTTGGTCATGATCATTGCTATAGGGATTCAATAGCAGTTTGATTTCTCAGCCCTGACTGCTAGGCATTCCCATGAAAAAGACAAGATACCTATTCCAAGAATGCTTGATAAAAATGTTTCTGGTTAAAAGACAGGACCTATAGATGAAAAAACTAAACTAAAATAAAAAAATGCATTTTAAAAAACTAGGTAACAATATAGAAGCGATATGGTGGATCATCATTCTCTTACTAAATCAGAAGATATTGCAAGGTAAAATAATTCATTAAAACAGTGGTGATTGCCTCTGAAGAGACAACTTATCAATGACATATAAAGAAATTACAGAAATAGAAGTAGATAGATAGGTAGATAGATAGATATTTGCAGATTTGTGTATGTATGTGTCTGTAGAGAGAGATTGAATATAGTAAATGTATTAGTAGGATGTATTATTTAATAAGTGATTGTTGACAAGTTGTTAACCATCTTAAAATAATTAAAGCCTCTATTTTACTTCAAATATCAAAATAAATTTCTTACATGTTAAAGATTTAAATGTAAAAAGTAAAATCACAAAATTTTAGGAAAGACTATGGGTGACTATTTGCATATAACTAAGTGGAAAGGATACTTTATATGCGATGACCAAAGCAGGGCACATAAAATGAAGACTTAATCTCTTTTCTTACATGAAAATTCAAAGATTTTGGCTCAACACGCCATTAAAACTTGTAAAATATGACACAATAAATATTTAATATCTAATACATAAAGACTTCTCACTAATCAACAATAAAACAAATGATTCTGAAAGTGAAAAATAGACAAAAGAACATCATAAAAGAAGTCTGACAGCGGTGGGTGGTGTAGCTCAGTGGGTGGAGTGCTGGCCTGCAAACCAGAGTCACCTGTTTGATTCCCACCCAAGGCCTGGGTTGAGTGCCAGGTCCCCAGTAGGGGGCGCTCAAGAGGCAACCACACGTTGATGTTTCCCTCCCTCCTTTCCCCTCTCTAAAAAGTAAATTAATTAAATCTTTTCTTTTTTAATAAAGAAGTCCAACAAAATTTTAAAAGTATACACATTTCACACTGACCAGTGTGGCTCAGTGAATTGAGCACCAGCCTGTGAATTGAAAGTCCACTGGTTTGATTCCTAGTGAGGGAACACACCTGGATTGTGGGCCAGGTCCCTGGTTGGGGGCGTGCAAAGAACACAGTGTATATCTCTCTCTCCCCTCTTCTTCCCCTTCCCCTCCCTCTAAAAATAAATAAAAATTTTTAAAGAAATATATGAATTTCATTAGAAAGCAAATGAATCATAATAAGGTATATTTTCTGACAAAATTCAGTTTTGATGAATACTGAAGTTTGGTTACTGTGTTATTCTTGGGGTATGACCTTTCTGGGGTGTGACATGGCAATGTATATTAAAATTCTTAAAGAATCATACTCTTTGAACTTGAAATTAGTTTTTTAAGAATGTATGCCAAAAATGAAGGTGCTCCTTCAAGTCTATGTTAATGTTGCCAGTAACATTAATTATTAGGAATAAGCTGGAATATTATTCTGTGACAAAAGAGTATTAGAGAAATTTTATGCATGTGAAATACATTCATGATATTTTATTGCAGGTACATATGTATTTGTATGCACATATGCATTTAACATATATGCAAAACACACACATATACACTCATACAGAGAGAGAGAGAGAAATAGAAAATGTTAACAAGTGTTAACACTGTTCATCTCCTGATATTGAATTATGGATTTTTTAAATCTTACATTTGTTTATTTTTCTTAAAAATGTTTTTCTGGAGTAAATGTGTATAGTTTTTATCTTAAAAAAATATACCTGAAATTGACCTGATATTTTTTGTTTAACTTAATATTTTGAGGGAATATTTATACAAACATTTTGTATTCTACTTTAATTGAGTATTTTAATTAGTAGTGTATGACTTAAGAGTATTTTCATGAGATAAAATATGTGAAAAGAAATAAACCACCCTAAATTGAGAGATATACAGATGTTTTTCCTTTTGTTTTCTCACAATTTACCTTCTGTTTTCCTTGTCTAATCTAAAAGATAGGTTGTTGTGATTTTTTTCTTTTGTTTCTCTTGCCTAAGGAGATATATCAGAAAAAATATTACTAAAAGAAATGTCAGAGATTTTACTGCCTATGTTTCCTTCTAGGAGTCTTATGCTTTGAACTTTACATTTAAGTCTTTAATCCATTTTGAGCTTATTCTTCTATATGGTATAAGAAAGTAGTCTAGTTTCATTTCTTTGTGTGTGTATCCGTTCAATTTTCCAAACACCAATTATTTTAAATAGACTTTTTACTTCATTGTATATTCTTGCTTCCTTTTTAAAATATTAATTGAACATATAGGTGTGGGTCTGTTTCTGGGCTCTCCATTCTGTTCCATTGATCCATATTCCTGTTTTTATGCCAGTACCATGCTGTTTTTATTACTATAGACTTATAGTATAGTTTGATATCAGGTAGCATGGTTCCTCCAGTTTTGTTCTTCTTTCTCAAGATTGTTGTTGTTATCTGGTGTCTTTTGCAGTTCCATGTAAATTTTTGGATTATTTGTTCTAGTTCTGTGAAATATCCCATTGGTATTTCAGTAGGAATTGTATTGAATCTATAGATTGCTTTGGGTAATAATGCATTTTAATGATGTTAGTTCTTCCTATCCATGAGCACAGTATATATGAGAAAGGTCTGTCTGGGAATATCCAGCCATGAAATATAAAAATTAGAGACATTTATTGAACAAGATACAAGATACAAGAAATGTTGTGCATAGGACAATGCTACTTTAGTCTCCTTCAAAGTAGTCACCTTGGGACCTCACACAGTTCTCCCAATTGCCATCTGCTGCCCCATCATGTTTTCCTGAATCTGATCTGCAGTCTGTAATCTCTTTCCTTTCAAAGGTTATTTTAATTTTGGGAAAAGCCAAAAGTCACAGGGTGCCAAATCTGGGCTGTATGGGAGCTGAATCACCTGGGTGATTTGGTGTTTCACAAAAAAACTCTGTGAGACATGATGCAAGTGGACACATTGTCATGATGAAGCTGCCAATCACCAGTTGCTCATAGCTGCAGCCTTCTGAATTACCCAAATATTTTCTGCAGAGGAATGTTCACGCTTAATACAAAATTTGATGCAGTTCATTGCTTTACCTGCTTAGTCATTTTGATGTGATGGCCACACAGTACACATGCTCACTCAACGGTGTCTACTGCCTCCACTTACTAGTACAGTGAGAAGTCGTCATTGTTCACACATGGGCATTCTACTCCGCTTTCCTTAGCTGCCAGGTGACATCAATGTTGCACAAACCATTTTGGTATGTTAGCAATTGTTGGATTTTTTTCCTGGACAAACTTCATATTTCCATTTATTTGTAACTTCTTCAATTTATTTCTTTAGTGTCTTGTAACTTGGGTGGCACAGGTCTTTTATCTCCAATGTCAGTGATCATCAGGAAAATTCAAATTAAAACTACAATGAAATATCACCTCACACCTGTCAAGATGGTTATCATTAATGAATCAACAAACAGATGGTGTTGGCAAAGATGTGGAGGAAAGGGAACCTTATTGTGATTTTG